CAGTTTTCATAACAATGATTGTTAGTAGTTGATAGTACTTTCACAAAAAAAAAAGGAGTGTATGCTTCGTAGTCATTCTTTTGCCTTTTTGTTCGTGACTTAGACGAGTAATGGCATCGCAAAAAACTGAATCAAGTTTCTATAAACCCTTGATACTGCACTTTTAAAAATTCTTTTCTGGATCATTGAGACGATATTAGATACAAAAATTTTCAAAATAACAATCGGTGTGTAAAAACAACTTTTTATTGTTTTCATAATCTAATGACAAAGGAAATCAAGGTTGTACTTCTTGGTGTTTTTTCACAAGCGCTTCGAAATAACTAGAAATAAATATTTTATGAGATCTGAATTAATTGGTGTTCTAGCGAACCATTTCTTGAACAGTATATGTTGTATCTTATCGAAGTAAAAGAAGTATACGTATAGCTTTTGAAGGAAGCGACGAGAATCCATATTTTTTCAGGGTTTTTACCAGGACATTACGTAACATTTGTAGACGAAAATTCATTGGAATCTGAAGGGTATCTGAAAAGGTTCTCTCGTTCAACAGTAACTTCAAAAAAAATTTCTTTCAATATTAAACAGGTGAACCCACCAGAGACAAGCTCGAAATTCGGAGTTCAGTTGAGTTTTTTTACTCCGACTCCGACTCCGAAATTTTTTTCGTCTTAATTCCGATTCCTACTCCGATTCCGAGAATTTCTGTTTTTTGATTCCGATTCCGACTCCGACTCCGCCGGAGTCGGAGTCGGAATCGGGTTTAGGACTCCGGTGCAGTTCACTACTCGGATCCCATAAAAGATGCGAGAATCTCATGTTTTATCGACATTCAATATCTTGCAAAGGAAACGTTCTTTTGAGCTGAAATGTTCAGGGCATTCTAATTATAAGTAGACCTATTGGTGGACAAAATTTCAAATCGAAATATCGCCAGTCGATTTGTTTGTACATACCATGCTGTAGGCTAAAACTCAAGTAAAATGGCTACAAATCTGTTGAGAAGGCCTATGGGCCCGAATCCTTTTAGGATTATTCTAGTCTAGAGGTTCCCTCTATACGCCCAAAATATGAGGTCAAAAGGGGTGAATCACTTCGGATACTTCTCTCGTTAGTTTCTTTTACCACTTCTTGGGTTCATCAACACATAGATTCTTCCTATCGATTGTTGTCACTACATCATCATTATAGTCATTCACCTACTTGTTTTGAAGCATAAACACATAAATGCGCTTTCCTTTTCAAGTTTGATGTACAGTGTAGGAATGGGGATGGGATAGATGAAAAGACGAGCCACACTCATACCCACGTACCCTTTGTCGAACTGCTAGCTTTATTACAAGAACGTCACCCTGACATTACAATGGCAAACTGACCAATAGAGAACATTCTGTATTCTGTAAATATTCGTAATCCGATCCATAAACTAAACCAAGTCGACGAACTGCCCTGCTAGTAATTTTCAATCGTACCAAATGTAAATCTATGCCGTAATCGATACTCGATAAATAGGGTGACTTATTCAATCAAATGAGGTTTACAGCTGAAGTTCTATAGTACTGCTCGGCAGATTATAACATCTTAGCTCTATAGCCTATGAAGTTAGATGATTCAGTGTGGGAATGCAAGACCAAATATTCAGATCCGCAGTCAAACATATTACTAAAGAATGAATACTAGAAAGAGGCATAGACAGTAAGTACCTAGACATCAGAGCAAATTCATGCACACAATTATAGGAGGAATATACTAAAAGTCAACAGGAAAGAACTATTTATTAAAAAAACTTAAATACACAAAAAGTGCTAGTAAAGTTGACGACCATTGTTAAGTTTCAAAAAAGAAATTTTCAAAAAATAATTCTTTGTTTAGCAAAGACAAATGGAGCATGCCAATATGAACTATCTATTGTTTGAAACAGGCATGCCAGTCTCCTTTTTCAAAATCAATTCCATAATATTCTTTTGGACATGTTCCTACAGACAGTCCATCACACGTCTGTCCTTTGCCTTCACTAATCACGCCACAGACCGTGCCTGATAAATCTTCCTTTCTCGGATCGTTCTTATAACATATGTAACGAAAATCTTGTGTATATCCTTGAGGACACTCCTTATTCGGACTGAACCCACCACATAGAGTGCGTGCTAGGCCACCACACAATGTGCCGGATATTCCATTCTGTTTACTAGTAGTTGTATTGGTTTTGTAACAGTATGTACCACCATCTTTGAAGATTTGACGCGAATAGCCTGAAGGACATCCATGACGTGGATCTGACCCATTGCACAAAATAGGGCTAGATGTTGTGTATTCAGCCCAACCACATACTGTACCACGGTACAGTGTAATATCACCAAAGCAGACAGAAACAATGCAGAGTACCAACGGAATTACAAAAGAATTCATCTTTGTTATTGATCATGAAAAGAGACAACTGCCTGAGTCTATATATACACAACACAGAAGATAAGGACTGCAAATACGTCATCGTGTGAAACGTTGACGTCAACAAAGCAAAATAGATAGTTGTTATGCTACTAGTCAAACAAAGAGTCATTGCTGATTTGTGGTGCAATATTTATATTCAAGGATTATGAAGCAGCATTACCTGTTATTTCTACATCTTTTGTTATTGTAATTCATTTCTTTGATTTTTCGTTCATCCATTTCCAGGTTATTCTTCATCAGTGAAAATCTGTCGGGAGCATCAATGCTCCAAAATGCTCCACTGAAATCTTTGTTAATTTGGAATACAATTTAAAAAAATGATATTTTATGACTGATTCACTTTGTCAACACTCCTTAGATAAGTATTAGCATTCAATCGAAAAGAAAAACCATGTTTAACTGAGTAACGTATGGTTTGTATTCGTGAAAAAATTGGTTTGAAATTGAGAAGGAGGGCGACGAAAAAACTTGATTAAATAGTTTGAGACAGACAATAAGGAAGGGTTGGTTGTCAACGATGGTATTTCTTGCCATACATAGAATGTCCAAAAATTAAATGGTATCCTCGTTTTCTTGTGTATAGGACTTCCTTTTATTTTGAAGAACTCATGTTTTTCGTGTGTGAATCATAGACCTTTATAGGCATAGGTATCTAGTATCTATTTCTACTGTCGCTTGCCTCTGTCTATTATTATATAAAAAAAAGGACAGCCTGAGGATATTTTTGTAACAATAAATACTTCTTGATGGTTATATTTTTCCAAATTGCAAAGACTCTCGTCCTCTAGGGACACATTTTCTTTTGTCAATGAAATAACTTGATAGTACGCTGCTAGCTGTTCGAATGAAGATAATTTGTTAATACTGAACTACAAATTTCAGGAGAGCCTGGCGAAAAAGCCTTTTTAGTGCCCAAGGTAGTTAAATCATCTGATCATCTAATTTAAAGTTAACAGATTTTTTTGTCTTTTATTTCATGTGGATTGCATAGAAAGGCAAATGCAGTTTTAGTTTGCACTATTCTGGATTCACAAAGTTTTCGGCACTGATATGCATTTGTTCTAGGATATCAAATATCACAATTGGTGAGTCTCGCATTTTAAATGCAAAACAGTTATGTTGATAAGCTTTCTAATTCTAATCCTTAAGATGATTTTGAGCACTTTTCCTCTTTACTTAATTTGATTTGTTTCTATGCATAAAACTAGCTCATCTCTATCTGTATGTCTACTGTCTTGTAATAACATCAGTACACAGTTGGATGAATCCAATGTGATTTCTGTATGATTCTACTCATTTTTTTGGATTTTCGATGAATCTCGTATGTTCTGACGAGATCTGCCGTTATAAATCTACTGAAATTTAGCTGAAAAGATGTGTAGGTTCTAATTATTGAAATTTGGTGTATTTCTTATGGACTTTCAGTGAAATCCCAGAATATCATTAAACATGGTGCCATATGAAGATTCTATAGAATTCTACAAAGTCTACTAAGCTGCAAATGAATTCATCAATCTTCTGAACACTTTTTTTGTTGCTCCTATCAAAAAAACACACATCACATGATGAAAATCTGTTCTTCACCCGCTATCATATTTAAGCTATGACATTCTTTTATATAATCAATATATAACATTCAGCTGATTTAACATGAAGAATTATTCAGGTAAGAACCGATGTCATCTACAAGGCAGAAAAATAATTGCAGTGATAAGAAAACAGTAAATAAATATCTATTGAGTACAAAGATATAACAATACTGTTCTATTGTAAAAAAAGAACTGTAGAGATACGCAATCACAATCAATTCAACATGACTCTATTTTTTTGTTTGATTAAAAGTTAGGTTTCAGCTTTGCATCATAAAAATTTAATTTCACTTCGTTCTCAATTGTTACTTCGAACGCTCTCAATCGATTATAATTGATTAGCGATTTACAATTGCTGGAAATACATAGTTCAATCTTTTCTAAACGATTACACGAATCTTGCGAAAATCCTAAGTATAACGAAATATAAGGAATGGCCTGTTTCGTTACTACTGTAGTATCTATTTTATTGTTGATCAATCTTGAGAAACTCGAGGAGTAGCGTGATCGCTATCCTCGGCGCACAATGTTCACTACACTACTTCATCATTCCAGTTCTGTCCGCTTCATATAGAACACGAGCTTATACACAAGAAAGGGAATAAATAGAAGAGAGAAGTGAGAACAGAAGAAAAAATGAAAAGAGGACAGAGTGAGTAGGCAGCTACTATCGGTCATGAGGTCAGAACGTCTAACCACGTAGTGACGAAATGCTCTCACATCAATGAACCAATAGAAGATGCACATAGGTCGTGACCTCATTATCGGCACAACTATATTTGATCGAATTTCAATTGCTTTTTTGTAGTTTTTTAATGCTTGTGTATAACCACTTTGTTTATGATAATTTTGTCCAATGTGCAAAATGATTGTTATAATTTCAAGTTGATTTTGTAGGTTCGATTGACTATCTAACTTTTTTGTTCATTCAACATAATTACCAAGTTTATTCGAAGTTAGTCATATATATTTATATGTTATTGTTAGTTTATCTTTTTTTGTTGAATCCATTACTTTTAATTGAATTCGAAGAACTTTTTGATAACTTTCGATTATAAAATAAGTACAACCAATATTAAAATATAATAATTCAAGATTCTTATCATGTTCTTTGAATATGATAGACATGATTGTCAGAGATACTTGAAAATATTCTAATGCTTTGTGGTATTGATTTAATTTTGAATTAATTCTACCAAGATTGACATAACTTGAAGTTAAATCATGATGATCACTTGGAAGTGATTTTAATCGTATTTGTAGGGCTTGTTGAAAATAATTCATATCTTTATCATTATCTTCAAGTTTATAATGAACATTTTCTATGTTATAATAAATCGATCCAATATTTTGATGATCACTTTCGAAAATATTTAGAAATATGTTCAATACTTTTTTATAGTAACTCAAAGCTTTTATTTGATCATTTGTATCTGCATAAAGTAAAACTATATTCTTATATGTTGTGTCAATTATATAGTGATTCGATGTTTAATGCTATACTATAATTATTCA